AATCGTTAGTAAATCTATGCAGTACAAATTATTTAACCACATATGAATCAATGTATTAATTGTATAAAATATGATGAATAATGTATTTTTATAATTTTAACCGGTTATAACCAATTAATTAATATTATAATTATTAATATAACAATTGTTTATGGATTTTAAGGATTTTGACTATATCGTTTAAACCAAGTAGCTCATTTAAAAAAAAAAAATCGCTTTTGAGATGTAAAAAAAAAAGACAATATTGATTTTATATATCTTGAAAAAAAATGTAATATATTTTTTTATACTTACTTAACTTCCTCATACCAATTAGTATGAAATATAATTTGCAAGTTTTAATGGCATATGATAAAATAGTTAAAAAATAAGATAATTACTTAATTAAGATAAAGTATAACGGCTTATTCCCATAATTAACTTTAAAGCGGGAAACTGAAAATATAATAAATTTATGCCTATTAACATCTCCTCTTATATATAATTACCGAATGTGCTGGGCATAAGTGGCATGCTCGTATGTTTCGGAATCTTATGTGGTAAAATTCCATGTTTCATTATTTGACTTGCACAGATTTTTATTTATTTCCAATCAAAAAATAATTAGGTTTTGTTAATTATTTATGGTCGTTTTTACATGTATTAACTGCATTTTAATATCTTTTTCTATCATAACCATTACATTGAAAATATATTTTAAATGTTAATAACTTTTATATTTTTTAGAGTAATGCTACATTGCCAATCTAGTGTACAACTAAGTTGACAACACAAGTTAAAACATTAAAAAAATAAAAATTAAAAAATGCACAAGTGGTTATTTTCACTTGTGTTGTCAACCTAGTTGTACACTAGGTTGGTAATGTAGTATTTTTCTATTTTTTATCAGTTTTTCATATATAATATATCAAATTAATCATCTCTTGATGTGGTTCGATTTGATATCCATATTGTATTTATAAAATAAATAAATTATATTTATATTTTTAATAATAATAAAATTATTTATTAATATTAAATAGAAAAAAATAATTATTTATCAATTAATATATTTATGTTTAAAGTAATTATACGATATAAGTCAGAAAAATTATTATAATATAACACATGTAATCGCACAAGTAACAAATGTCATTCTAAAATATATAATAATATATAATTTTTGTAAAAAATAATATTTAAATTTAAAAAAAAAAATTCTCATTGATTTTTAAAATTTAAGAATAATTTTTTTAACAAGCACCCGTGTAATATACTGGTGTTGTACTAGTTTATTTTATTGTTACATATAAATTAATGACCATAAATGATATCAACAATAACATACCAATTAATGTCATATGACACATTTTTGTGACAACTGTAAATTTTTTTTAAAATTGTAACGAGAAAATGTCATCCGTTGCAAATAAGTTGGTTATAACTTATACCTTAGTGAAGAAAATAACTACTTTTTCGCTCTCATTGGAAATATTTACATAATTTTTCTTTTTCATGCGTGTATTATTTTACTTTTTAGTTCTTTTCGTGAAATGATGGAAATATGTAACTGAAAGATTGAAAATGTGAGTGGAGCAAAGAAAGAAAATAAGTATATGTTATTATTGTACTTGATGCGATGCAATTTTGGAGATTGTGTACCATGTTGGCTTTATCATTTTCTGTGTTTTTCAATTTTTCATTGATAAAGAAAGTGTAAGTAACAAAAGGTGTCAGTAAAACTCTTCAATTTTAGAAGAGTAAGTACTTATAAGTACTCTCTCTATATGACAGATTAAAATGAGAAAAATGATAGTATGTTCAATCTCGATCGAGTAATTTGATTGGAGCCTGGCGGGCGATAACGAAACTTACGAACATGTGTAAAACAAAACAAAGACTAGCTTAGTGCAGTTTAAAATATTATTAGTAATTATAAATGGAAAAAAAATAGTGAAAGTGAATAAATTTTGCATTTAGAAACTTTCATTTTCAATTAATGTGTCCCTAAGACAAGTAGTTGTAGATGGTAAAAAAACTGGTGAAAGTGAAACCTAATAAGATACTGTATATAATTTGTAGCATAAATAATTNAATATATTACTAGAAAACTCAAAAAGAGTACATAGACAATGTCAACTGACACCAAAAGAACCAGATAACTGGACCTACCCTTTTAGACTTTCGGAGGAAACCAAGAAGTACAACTTCAGGCAATCGCAACCTAAAACAAAATTCCACAAAGGGAGAAAAAACTCCATAAAGGAGATAAACCAGACAAGCTGGACTGACACACAAAAAGCATGAAGAAAAAACACACACCTAATGTACAAATAAACTAGAACCTCCCTTACACCTAACGGACTCGATGTCTAACCACCCGGGACCACACACGATCCACATCCACTAGCAAAGATAACCAACAAAACCACAAACCGGAAGCTCAAGCCCAAAAACTGCGGCTACTCGTGTCGCCTAGACGGATCTGAAGAAGAGACTGCTCTCGGTTCAAATCTTCGGTTCAGATCTGGACTCCGAAAAATCATCCACGCTTGGGGGAGGAGAGGAAGCCGTCGTAATGACACCAACACACCTCGCCGGAGTACTCGAAAGAGGGATCGAAATAGACGGCAAGCCACACCAAAGGACCCAAAACATGAACAACAAGACTCTCGGCAGAAACAATGGTCGGTATTCCCTCGAGGCTTGGGCCTGAACTCTTGCTACCTGCGGTCTCGTCCATGGCCGGGGATGGCTAGGTGGCGAAGCAACTCGGAACCAGCTGGGGCGAGAGCTCTCCAACCCAACCTCCCACAAAGCCCGGAGGAGACGGAAATGTCCTCAGCCCTGAATAGACGAGCTCCAATTCCAGTGGCGCGGCGGCGAACTTGAAGGTGTAGGAGGGGCGGCGATGTGGAAGAATAGTGTTTTTTGAGATTGGGTTTTTTTCCTAAGGAGAGAGAACAGAGCGTTTGTGTGATTTTGACTTTCTATTATTATCCCCTTTCAATTCGTAAAAACAAAGTGCAGGATATGACCATGTTATTTTATCTCTTTCCTTTCTTTTTAAGAAAGTGCAACCCACTATTTCTCCCCCTCAATTGATCTTTGATAAGTATTTTTTTTTTCAAGCAAGTGGTACTAAACCCTCGTCATGAACAAATAAAAAATCATAAAGCATCAATCCACATATACTGACTTGAGCGTCGGAGGCCCGACCTCTCCTCTCAGAGAGCAGCAGCAGCAGAGAGATGGAACTGTATAGAATGAGTAGAGGTTAGGGTTTAGGGTTACCTCATCCCCTTTATATAGAGCAAACTACATGCTTGAAGTACCCAAAATGCCCCGGTCGGTTTACCTGAAGTGTCCAAAATACCCTGGACGGTTCGCATTCCATCTACCTCCTAGTCAACTCAAGATTATTTATTATCCAATTACTGCCTCTAGATCATGCTCTTGTAGTCACAGAGATGTCCAGTAGCGGAGACCTCTAGTCACGGAGACGTCTAGTAGAGAAGACGTCTAGTAACGGAGGCTAGTAGCGGAGACCTATAGTCACGGAGACGTCTAGTAGAGAAGACGTCTAGTAGCGGAGACCTCTAGTCATGAAGACGTCTAGTAGAGAAGACGTCTAGTAGCGTAGGTCTAGTAGCGGAGACCTCTAGGCACGGAGACGTCTAGTAGAGAAGACGTCTAGTAGCGGAGACCTCTAGTCATGGAGACGTCTAGTAGAGAAGACGACTAGTAGCGGAGAGGTCTAGTAGCGGAGACCTCTAGTCACGGAGACGTCTAGTAGAGAAGACGTCTAGTAGCGGAGACCTCTAGTCACAGAGACGTTTAGTAGAGAAGACGTCTAGTAGCGGAGGTCTAGTAGCGGAGACCTCTAGTAGAGAAGACGTCTAGTAGCGGAAACATCTAGTCACGGAGACATCTAGTAGAGAAGACGTCTAGTAGCGGAGGTATAGTAGCGGAGACCTCTAGTCACTGAGACGTCTAGTAGCGGAGAGCTCTATTCACAGGGAACTATAGTAGCGGAGACCTCTCACAAGTCTACAAAGTTGAGACGAGTCTAGCAAGTCGAGATGACCTCTGGCAAGTCTAGCAGGTCGAGATGACCTCTTGCAAGTCTAAGAGGTCGAGATGACCTATCGCAAGTCTAGCAGGTCGAAACGAGTCTAGCAAGTCGAGATGACCTCTGGCAAGTCTAGCAGGACGAGATGATCTCTCGCAAGTCTAGCAAGACTAGATGACCTCTAGCAGGTCTAGCACATCGAGATGACCTCTACTTATCTTCTTAGAGCAGCTCGACCTTCTCATACTCAATCATAGAGAGCATGTCTACTTCTCATACTTAGTCGAGTGGAGCTTCTCATACTTAGTCACAGAGAGCATATCTACTTCCCATACTTAGTCGTGTGGAGCTTCTCATACTCAGTCACAGAGAGCATGTCTACTTCCCATACTTAGTCGTGTGGAGCTTCTCATACTCAGTCACAGAGAGCATGTCTACTTTCCATACTTAGTCGTGTGGAGCTTCTCATACACAGTCACAGAGAGCATGTCTACTTCTCATACTTAGTCGTGTGGAGCTTCTCATACTCAGTCACAGAGAGCATGTCTACTTCCCATACTTAGTCGTGTGGAGCTTCTCATACTTAGTCACAGAGAGAATGTCTACTTCTCATACTTAGTCGTGTGGAGCTTCTCATACTCAGTCACAGAGAGAATGTCTACTTCTCATACTTAATCGTGTGGATCTACTCATACTCAGTCACAGAGAGCATGTCTACTTCTCATACTTAGTCGTGTGGAACTTCTCATACTCAGTCACAGAGACCTTCAAATCTCTTCTAGACCTCCTCAGGTCGCTCTTCTTCGGCTTCACTTGGACCTCTTCGTACATGGCTCCGGTTCACAAGTATGGCTATATCAAGTCCCATTTGTGCCGACATTCATGGCATTGGAGACTATTACGACACATGCACTCAGTGGGTTGCCCATTGTTTAGCTTACTCAACAACATGTGCGATAGGCCTTGCCCTTTGTTCGATTACGAATATGGTGACGGCATTGTGGCCGGGACTCTGGCGAGGGACACGCTCGTGGTCTTGTCGAACGATAGTAATAATAATCCCAATATTTCGTTTGGTTGCGTTCAAACCTCATATAGAGAGCCGATAGGAATTGTAGGGTTCGGTAAAGGTCATATATCTTTCCCTTCACAACTAGGGTTTTTGGAGAAAGGCTTCGCGCGCATTGCTTTTTACCTTTCGATTACTCGAGCAACCCTAATTATTCCACACCATTGATTCTAGGTGACCAAGCAATATCCTCCAAAGAATATATGCAAATCACCCCAATGCAACACAATCCCTTGAACCCGAATTTCTATTACATCAGTCTCGAGAACATCACCGTGGAGAACACGACCACGATACACGCGCCCGAGACCCTGAGACGGTTTAATTCGTCGTCATTGACCGGTGGCATGATAATCGACTCGGGAACACGAAGCACCCATTTGCCCGACCCCTTCTATTCGGATCTTCGTAAGGCGATCGATTCGGTTGTAAAATACCCTCGTGAGCCGGTGGCGAAAGCTACAACCGGATTCGACCTTTGCTATCGGATTCCGGTGGACGCTACTCAACCCTACGATTTTCCGACCATCACTTTTCTTTTTTTTTTCTTTTTTTTGGTACACTTTTCATTTCTTAAACAACGTGAGCCTCGCGTTGCCACAAGGGAGTCTCTTTTATAAGGTGGCCCCGCCGACAAACGGGACTCGGCCAGTGTGTTTGTTGTTCGAGAGAATGGATGATGATCCGGAAGCTTCTGGAGTGTTCGGAAGCAGCCAACAAGAGGGTGTGGAAGTTGTTTACGACCTCGAGAATAAGAGAATTGGGTTTCACGTAACGGATTGTGTCTCGTACGGGAAATAGCTAGCGTGGCCTTGAGAAGATCAAAGTTGTTTTGTGTTCTTCGTTTTCTTTTCCTTTTCTGTGAATTGTGGTCTCTGTGTCGTGTGCTTTCTTAAGATGAAAGTTATGTTTGTGTCAATGTTTTGCATTAGATGAGCAAACTCCAGTAATAATAAGAAATAATGCTTCGTTTGTAATTGTAAGAGCAACTCAAACAAAAATATCATGCTTTGTTGAGGCTTATTTTCAGTTTTGATTAATTTTATTGTTGTACATATCATTATAGAATTTTAATTTTAATCTCACTGAACGCGTTATGTTACGAGGAATAAGAGCTCGACCTCTCCTCGTAACTCGAGATTCAATAAGCCGAACATGAGTATTAAGGAGTCGATTTGAGTAAAAACTTCAGAAAATAAAATAAGAATCCTTATTCACGAGCTTTGCAAACCAAACAAGCTCTATAATCTGAACCGAGCCGAGCCCAACTCACGAGCAGTTGGCTTCATTTAACAACTCTAGCAGTCTAACTATAAATCATTATAAAGCATGAAGGTAAATTGCAGATTTCTCATGCAAATATGTAAAATATGAATGGATGAAAAAGTACTTACTACAACTGGTCAATATGGTTAAAACGAAAATTAGAAGAATGAAGAAATAAAGGGAAAATATATAGACGACGAGAAACTTTGTCCTCGTTGTCTGAAAACCTCAATCATCTGCACCACTTTGTCTTTAGCTGCTCTGTTTTTCATTTATCTTTAACCCAAAAAAAAAAAAACAAAAAAAAATGTCGGTTGAAGAACATCACAAAATTGCTCTTTTAGCCCACTCTCATTTTCCATGGCATCCCTCCACAAACGGGTGTTCGAACAAGGATTTGACGAAATTTCGTCTGATACAGGAAAAAACTCCAAGAAAAAAAGAAGCCGCCATCAAACAAATTGAAATGAGAAAAATGATAAGCAGAAATAGTTGGTCTGATTATTCAAAACAGAAGAAAGTGATATTGGAAATAAGAGATTTCGTGGATAAGCAACCACAACACTTAAAAAAATTGATTCAACATTAAGTTGATCCTATATTCAATATAACCAACCAAGAAGACCGACATGTAGCCGAGTTTCAACATACACTCATTCATGTCGGGTAATTCACAGTGTGGGCTGCAGAAATATAATTGGGCTCACAGCAGCACGTTAGGACATATATGAGCCCATTCATAATATTGGATTTGCAACTGATAACCCATTTCGAATGGGCTAAACCGAATCTGTTGTTTTCGTCTTTTAGCTCTCAAACAAATTCACATTAACATATTTTTTTAAACATACGTGATAATGAAACGTAAATATACATAATCGAGCTTGCAAGTCAAGGTTTATGCTATGAATATAAATAATATAAGACGACTATTGTGAGACATGTCGCGTTTAAATAGGTTGACTCTTGACTGTTCATACTTTATAAAAACAATGTATGAATGTACTGTCTGTAATTAAAAGAAACAAAGAACAAATATGGAGACAGGTGAATGGACAAAGCCACATTTCGTCTCTTCCATTGTTTGTAGTTTTTGTACCACCAAATTTACACATCCCCATTTTGCCCAAAACACACATTTTATTTATATTAACCATGCCATATCTTATTTATTAGTTATGTTATTTCACAAAATAATTAGTCATAAGAAATTAGGAATCTAATATTCCCACCATATTTGTCTGATCAAGATAGTACAAATACAATACAAACAATTCATATAGTTTACATGACAAAATGCCTATGAACCATGGATTTTACTATCTTGTGACATGTTGGTATTATATAATCAAGATTCACTAGTTATGCAATAAAATGCCCAAGTTTCAAGATTACCTTGAAGGTGGGCAAGTTGATTGGGATGACTAAAACAAGGCCAATTGGATCAAAAACAAAAGGAGTGAAATGTGTTGTGTGGTGTCCCCAACTGGGCTAGGCCCACTTTCACATGTACAGTACAGATAGCTAAATAGCTTGTGGACAACCCATGTTTTGGAGTCCACGTCATTTTTGGACAGCCAATCTGTATTCACCTTTATGCATAACAAAATAAGCCATAGCTTTAGAAAAAAATCAGCCACACCCAATTTTGTGCCCTTTAATTCCAGTGACCACTTCATTTGTCCAAATATTCCACCATTTCACTATCACACACCACTCTCTGCACATGCATGCGCATACCAAATTTTTTCCTTCTCATTTATTCAATTTCAATTTTAAAAAAATGGAATCTCATTTTTAACCAAGATAATGTTACCAAGAAATGGATTTTTGGTGTAAGAAATTTTGATAAATAGAAAAGTGGCTCATAACTTGTGTAAATGAGCCAAACTAAACATTAATATTGGTAGGATCAATTGTGTGGTCGACTCTTTGGACCCTTTGTGTTTGATAAAAGACATGAAATTATGTCCATTACTTCAACAGTTCAACTCTTAAAGGTTTATTTAAATATGTGATACATTTTTTTTTTTTTTAAATCACTTGAGCTGGATGAGTGCATTATGTTGAACTATACATAAGGTGTAAACGCAAGGACGATTTTATGATATTCGAGCTCGACTCGAGCTTTTTTTGAGTCGAGCTCGACTTCTCCTTGTAAATCGAGATTCAATAAGTTGAACTTGAGTCAGAAAGATTATATAAGAATTCTTATTATCGAGCTTTGCAAACCAAACATACTCTACAATCTGAACCGAGAGAGTCCAACTCACGAGCATTTCACTTCATTTAACAACTCATAACAGTCTAACTATAAAAGTATAAATCGGTCCAAGCATTATAAAGCATGAAGGTAAATAGGTAATTGCAGATTTCTCATGCAAATATGTAAAATATGAATGGATCAAAGATTAAAACGTAAATTAGAAGAAGAATGAAGTAATAAAAGGGAAATAGACGAGGAGAAATCTTTGTCCTTATTGTCTAAAAACCTCAATCATCTGCACCACTTTGTCTTTAGCTGCTCTGTTTTTCATTTATCTGTAACCCAAAAATAAAAAATAAAAAAATGTCAGTTCACAAAATCGCTCCTTTAGCCCACTTCCATTTCCCATGGCGTCTCTTCACAAACTGCTGTCCGAACAAGGATTCGAGCGCCAAATTTCAAGAAAGCCCAACAAAAAGGTGAAATTCAAAAGTGGCCCACAGCCACAGGACTCCGTCACCCTCCCCATCTTCATCTGCCACGATCGCCGGAGCTTCGGCTCCCCTTCATCCCACAAGCCGGAAAAGGCACCTCCGGCGAGGGGCACATCCGTAATTTCGTCCGATACGGGAAAAACTCCAAGAAAAGAAGAACCCGCCATAGACTCCGCCGCCATTAAGGCCATCGTGTCCATTTTGTGCGGCTATGTTGGCCGGTACTCGAAAGACGAGGTTTTTAGAAGAAATATCAAAGAAAAATGCAATCTTTATCTCGAAAATGGGAATCCCAGAAGCTCAGGGGATGAGATTTGGGCTCATCTTGAAATGGGCATTGAGAGCATCGATAGTTTAATCCATTTTCAAGAGTCTAATAAGGAGATAAATTTAGAGTCTTTACAGAAAACTATTAAACTTCTCAAGAATGCGGCTTCATTGGGCTCGAAATCGAACCTCTCGGCCTGCGCGCATCTCTACTTGTCGATAGTCTACAAATTTGCCAACAATGAAAAAGTCTCGGCAAGATACCTTTTGAAGCTTTTTAGCGATTCTCCATATCTAGCACGGACCCGTTTGCTTCCCGAGCTGTGGGAGCATGTTTTCTTGCCTCATCTTCTTCATATAAAAGATTGGCGCGAAAACGAGCTCGGTTTTCTCACGGGCTTGGGTTATGTGGATAGCAAGAGAAAAATCGAAGCTTTGGATAAACAGTTTGATCATCTTATGGATATCGGGACGAAGAAGTTTGCGGTTTATTACATTGAGTGGCTTAAATTTGGTGGTTCGAATCAGACCCCTTCTGTTGTTCCTTCGGTGCCTTCGCCTTCGAAATCTAGTTTGTCGCGGTCAAGAAAGAAATCGTTGGATTCGAACAAATCTTTGTAAGTCTAAGTAATGTTTTCGTGAATCTTGTGTTTTTGAGGAAATTCATTTGAGGTAATGTAAGTCTAAGTTATGTTCTCTAAATCTATTTTTGAGAGTAATTGTTGTTGTACCCTTTCATTTACTTTATTCGGGCCTATAGGTACCAGACGGTTTTTGGCCCAGTTATAAAGTCCCGGTCGATGGATAATGTACGTTATTCAGAGGTCGAAAGAAGAGAGTGCAGTGGTGAAGAATATGAGACACATTTCAGCCTTGTTCAAGTGAGTAGCTAATTATATATATTCTTATTATTATTGTAGTTGTATTGAACTTCTTTTTCGATCTTTTTTGATTTGTTGTTTACTTCAATTTTGACAGAAAAAAACTAGCTCTAGTAGAAGATCATCAAGTCAGAGCTATAGATTGCATAAGCCCGACAGCAAAAGTTCAGATAATTACTTCAGATTCTTGGGTTGCCGGGCCGAGAACTCAACAGACTCTAAAGTCCACACACACCACATGTTGATGAGCGAGAAAATCAAGAATGACGAAAATGCCCATCGTCCGTATGTTAACGACATTACCACGAGTGCAATTTCCACTCTTTGCTCCTCAGAAAGCCTATCAGAATGCAAAAAAGCAGTTCGTTTAATAACCGAAGCCTGGATAAATTCAAATTCCCACAGAGATGGAACAATAATCGAGACCTTGCTATCACGGGCTTCGGCAATACAAGGAATAATGGAAGTACTCTATGTCTCCACAGACGACGAGATTCTTGAACTGGCAATGTCGCTCTTAGCCGAGCTCGTGTCCAAAAACGAGACCAATCGGCTTTGGGTACTAAATTCAGACCCAAATCTCGATATTTCGATAAAACTATTCAGAAGCAGCAGCTTATTCCTAAAAGCCGCGGCTTTGCTTTACCTCATAAAGCCGAAAGCTAAACAAATGGTGTCGATCGAGTGGGTCCCGCTAGTCCTTCGTGTGCTTGAATTTGGTGATCATTTAGAAGTTTTGTTCAATGTAAAGTGCTATACTCACGAGGCCGCGTATTACTTTCTAAACGAGCTTCTAACGGGTTTCAATGAGGATAAGAATTCGGAGAATGCTCAGCAAATTGTCTTGCTTGGCGGTTTAAGTTTACTAGTGAGGAGAATGGATGAAGGCGACATTGATGAGAAGAGTAAAGCTTGTGCTGTTCTTCACTGTTGTGTTAAGGCGGATAGAATTTGCCGATATTACTTGGCGAAGAATTTGAACAAAGAGACGATTATATCCCTGCTGGCAATCGGGATGAAGAAGAACACAAATTCTTATTATGAGCATGCTCTTGGATTGATGACAGACTTAATATGCCTTAGCAGGTGAGAGACTTTCGACTTTCAATTTTCAAAGTCATGTTTGGCTTTTGTTTGTCTATCCTTCTGGATTAAATTATCTTTCGGGAATGACAGGAGGAACCAGATAACGGAATGTTTAACTGGGATAAAGAAGGGATGGGATTGCTTCAACGGCAAGCAAGTTTTGCTCTTCCTACTCCAGAGGGCCCGGCTCGAAGATCAACCTGTAGTTGCAGTCATATTGCTGCAGCTAGAACTTATGGTTTGTATTTGTACTTTATAAGTTAGATCTTCATTTTTCCATTTTTCAGCACATTAGATACATATAAGCACAATAGGTTTTCTGGAAGATATTGGAAAAGTAATCTTTGCTAGTGGTATTTCATACTGAAACAGGATGAAAGTCACGAAACTAGAGAATATAGTGTGTACAGAGAAGAAGCTATAGACGCAATCGTAAAAGCGTTAGAGTATCGGGTTTTTGACGAGAAAATCCAAGAGCTATCAGCCAGAGCTTTGTTGATTTTGGGAGGACAGTTTTCTTATACTGGAGAGCCCGAAATCGAGAGATGGCTTCTCAAAAAAGCTGGTCATGAAGAAGAGGATGTGAAGAGCTCCTTGTGTGGAAAAGACATTAGCCTAAACTTGGTACGTTTAGGCTATGTTTGGTAAAACTAGCTGATAAGTGATTTTCGAATTTATATCGTATAGCTTATATGATAAAAGTGTGGTAAAGTTAGATGATAAGCTAGTTGAAATCAAAATTTCAACGAGCTTATTTGAAAAGCTACCCATAGAAACTTATGAGATAAGCTCGAAGTTTTTAAAAAAAAAATCCTCTTACTAAACGAAGCTTATAAGCTAACCAAATAGAGCTATAAGCTAGCTTATCTAGTTACAAAACATAGCCTATATTCGAACCAGTGTTTTTACTTGTAGAAGTTGATCAAATTATGCTAATTCTCAAAAAAAAAAAAAAAAAATGTAGCTTATGTGCACTTTTAAATTCTCAGAATGAAGATGAAAAACTGATGGAAAAATGGCAGCAGAAAACGGCTAAAGCTCTGGTTTCAAGCGGAAAAACTAGACTTCTGGCAGCACTTTCGTATTCAATAGCTAGCAGCATTCCATGTTTGGCACGCGCGAGCCTTGTGACTGTTTGCTGGATTAGTATCAGTATACATTCGGTCGAGGATAAAGAAATCGAACTTGCAGCATGCTCGATTTTGGTGCCACAATTGATAGACTGTCTTAGGGATAAAAGTACAAACATTGAGGACAAGATTCTAGCTTCATTTTCAGTGTATAATCTCACAAAGAGTACAGGTAAAATGGTTCAACCAAAGGTTTCTTTTCACTTTATTCTGGCCAAATCTATGTATGTATTAATTTGTGAATGTATCACAGATTACTTTTCTTGGTTATCACAACCGAAGGAATTTCTCGGTTGCCTGCGCAAGTTGTCTCGAACGACATGGACGGCCAGAGAGCTGATTTCGGTTATCACAATGAAATCATAAAATTCAACTGTCAATCACAGATTATAATTAGTGAGATCATAAACAATGATGTTTGGGAGATCAATCTTTGCATTACTTTATTGTAGAGTAATAGAAATGTATATTTATATTATTTTTTAGAATATGGTTTTTTCGGTTTGTACCACCTCATATATCTAATGATAAACATTTTTTATTGTACCAACTGTTATGAAATAATAAAATAATATATGTGAATGACTATTTTGCCCTCGATGTATTTGTATTATTACAAATTGTGCCATCAGGAGTTTCCTATAAATAGGAGCTTCAGTTATAATGAAAAACATACCTAAGGGAATACATTTTCTCTATTCTCTCTCTTTTTCTCTAGTTTTATAACACGTTATCAGCACGAGTCTTTGCCCTTTAGAGCTCGATTTGTAATATGACGAGAGTATGCTCTACGGTTGCATCTTTGAGATGAACCTCCGTATCAGAAATCCGATTATTACTTATTATTCTTCTCTTGAATCAACTCAATATGCCAGAATTATGAATTTTATCTTTACTTTATCATGATCATTTTTCATCACTTTCTTTCGGCTAAGCTTTCTTAAAGCAACCATCATGCTTAAGCACCATGAGGAGGAAGACTTCCACCATCTTAGCCTCCAGATTCAAACGCAAAAACAAAGAAAAAGCTCCAAATTCATGAAGCTGATCATGGTACAAATGATAAATATATACTTTACCCGAGAGGTATGTCAAAACTAATCCACCAGCATCGTGTATGTAATTTCTCATGATTTTGTTATCTCGCCTGTGATTTAACACTCTTTCCAATCACATAAAAGTAAAAAAATTCATGGCTAATGAGTAAGGAATAATATATGAACCATACATTATACTTTTATGGTGAGAAATGAAAATGAATAATGATCGAGCATAGCAAAATTTGATGTCCAGCCAAGAGAAATAATAAACTTTTTGAGAATAACAAAGTTGGAGCTTAGGGATAAAATAAGTAGCTTATAAATATTTGATAGGAGAGGAACACCGAAGACGAAAGGCATTTGATGGAAGAGAAATAAATGATCTTTTCATTTCGTGAGAAAATTGTAATGGTGATATATATATATATATAATATTGAATCATGTTTGTAAGAAAATGAGAAATAATTTAATGACCGCCCACTTATGTCACAACACCCACCAAGTTTGACAAGTTAACATTATATAAATGCCAAAACCATTTATGACCATGACCTTTGGGAGCCACTTTTCTCAAAGCATAAAGAAATGAAGATTAGATGTCGGTAGACACCATTCAAATGAACAAGTGTTAGGAATTAAAATACATTGAAATAAATGCATTCACTATTTGATTGTGACACTTAGAATAAATACATGAACCTATAATTCATTGTGTATGTAGGCAATGATATTTAATGTTTTATATTAACAATATATGTTTCAATAATTCATTAAACTTTAAAATCTAATTTTCTCAAATAACAAATGCATACAGTACCAAAAATAGCGGTTTATGATTTCATTTAAATAGAGCTTCGCTTTAAGACCAATATTGATATGACGTATTCTTGAAATTATTTGATACACGAACATATGCATATTTATGGATTGGTTATTGTAATATTTGATACATGGACATGTGAATATTTATGGATTGACCCTTGTGATATGAAAAGAAATATGTGTGGCTATATGGATCAGCCAGTGCGGCTCTGCCGCCGGCAAGTAATATTTAATGGTAACCAACGGGTCAATTATTGATCAAAAATATTATAAAGAAATATGACCGATCATATGAAATGGCCAAGTGTTGCAGCCACCAGCAACAGATAATATTGAACGGCTAAATGGATCAGTCAGTATATTAATGATAACCGGTGATATAGAATGGCCATGTGGCAACGCCACGTGCAACAAATGAATGGCTATACATATACATGGGTCGGCCAGTGCGGCACTGCCGCCGGCGATGGGCAGTACAAATTAAGTGATAGCCAATGAGTGAAATTAATGATACTTTGTATCTGACCATGTGAAAGTTAATGAACAGACATTATATGGACTAACCTGGTCCTGAAGTATCAGTTGATAAATTCTCCAAATTTATGGAGATATGAATATTGATGAGATGGTACTATAAGTTACCACATGATTAATGTGATGTCGGAAGTTATGGCATAATGATTAAATGATATCATGGTATAGTAGTACTGGATGCTACCACTTTATGATTAAACAAAGTGATGAAATGGTACTAGAAGCTACCATTGGATGATTGAACAAAATGAGAAAGTGGTATCAAAAGCTACCAGCTATGGATGATCACATAAAAATGATTTCTCAATATATTATATAAGTCTAAGGGGCTATATCAGATGACGAGATCACATTGGGATACGAGATCATACAGATATTACAATAAAGTGCTCAGGAAGAAGCACAAATGATAATGATTGTAGTCATGAACTACTATACACTGAGAAAAATCGAAATTGATATTATTATTACTGAGAAACAAGTACAAAATGTTCAGATGGTGGAAATATGGAAAAGAGGCAGTAAATACTTGATGAATACAAAATACGCAAAGATTACATAATAGAACCCATAAAAGAAGGGTGCGTCTCGAGAGTGTAAAACTCCGTAACTCTGCCACCCATGAATGATATCTGGGTTCATATTTGAATAGTATCTGGGTTCATAATGAGAGATCTAAAGGATCAAAAGCTCTTTTTCGCTTGACCCCTTGTGTTTCCACAGAATCTTGAAATGTGATGCATTCTTGAAGCTTTTTGATAAGTTCAGCAGACGTGTCAGCAGATTTGAACACTTCTCTCATTGAAGGAGATATAAAGGTTTGATATACTCCTATGTCTAAAAATCCAAGCAAACCATGAAAGAAGTTATTAAAGTTCAATAGACCTATGGGCTTGTTATGAAGTTTCAATTCTGCCCATAAAGCAATGGTGAACATTGTCATTAGCGTTCCATACCCGCCTGGAAGAATGATAAAAGCATCGCTATTGTTCACCATATCCATCATACAATCATGAATGGAATGAGTTAACATCATGCTTGTGGAATCCTTGACGACCTTTGTTGAAGCTCTACGAAAAGGTATGATACTTTTCACTTCTATCTCAAAACATTGTCCAGCCATTAAGAGACTATCATAGAAAGTATTGCTAGTCCCTCCATACAGCAAATTGATTTTTTGATTCCCCATCTCTTTGACTAACTGACTTACAATATCAATAGTTTGAGAAAAACTTACCAGTTTAGAACCACCAAGAACACATATGGTTTTGATCGGTTGAAGAAAATTATTACCTTGCGAAGACTCTGAAACATCCATCTATTTATTGATAAACTGAATTTTTCAAAACTTTGTGAGGCATATGATTATGATGAACGACTCGCTATTTAAATAGAAAGTTTTACAAAGCAATAAATAATTTTACTGTTTTCTTCTGACAATTGCAACTGACAGATAAGGTGTTGGGTTTTAAATAAATCTTATCTGTCGGCAACTATAAGTTTTTCTAGAAAATTACAGTACAACATACTAAACTGTATTAGTATGATTTTTCGTACTAACAAGACCAGTTTTACAAACTTGATCTTTTGAAATAATATTTTCGAGACTATAACGTTCTTCTTCATTTTTGAACTGAATCCATAAAGACATAAGCTCACGATGCACGTATCCACTAGGATGTGTCTCAAGAATCTGTTGAATCGTTTGATCCAAAGACTCCTTACTCAATCCATCCTTTATAAACGTTATTTTATCTTCTCGATTTTTGGACACGTACCCCACAGATTTACATCGTGTGTCACAAGTCCATCGAGCGCATTTGAAGCATCCACCTAATCTTTTTGCTCTTCGTTTCTTTGCAAAAGTACTTTTACCCATACCTGGCATATATTTATATGAATAAGGAAACTCTCCAGACAATCGAACTTGTGCTTCGATCAACCATCGAACATCATTTGGAATACCATTATTCATTAGCATCCTCAATCTTTCTAATCGAGATCGATAAATCTTTTTTATGATATTTTTCGGAAGAAAAGAATAATATTTACGGATATTTGAGAGTGCTAAATCCATTTGTAAATTCGGACATTTGTTAAAGAAAATTGATTGAATTACCTGATAATTTATAGAAAAACATGATGCGTATGCGATACGACTCTGGGCTTAAACAGTGTTCAAAAGTATGTGTGTCAGACGGCATGACACGATTCTGGATTTAAACAGTGGCTAAAAGACATTTTGCCAGAGCACACACTTAAAGTGCATTTATTGCCGCCGAAAGATGATGTGAAATGTTTGTGATAAACGTGTCACAACGAATTATTGTGATCATTTTAAAAATGTTTGCCGATATTATTGATGATGGTTTGCATGATGAACTTATTCTTTGTTATATGAGATGTTTGTTCTCGATTGGTGAAAAATATTACTAGCTAAATATTTGTGAATCGATATTTGATCAATCTGAGTATAAAAGGGGTATGATATATATGGGCCCACTACCCCTCCATGTGTGCTACTAGATATTATGGATCCACTAGATAGCCACATGTGTGTGATTCGTAACCTGAAGTTACGAGATGATTTGATCAAAGAATGTGTATATGACATATAACCTGAAGTTACGAGATGGTTTGATCTAAGGATGACACAAGATGATTATGAAAGAATGAAAATAAGTGTCATATGAAAGTGATGAAGCTAGTAATATACTCACCTGATATGATGAACTCTTGAAAGAAAAATGTGCACACTACAAATGATATGAGTTCAAAGTCCTCCAAATATATGTTGAAATCGAGAACAAAATAGAGACTATATGAACTCCCCTCAAGAAATTCAATACTAAAAATACAGATCAGGGATCTGTTAAGATGAGGGGGAGAATCAATGATTGAAATTTGGAAATGATATATGCATCACACTGAGAGTGTGCGAATCATAAACTGTATGATACTGATGATGTGAAATATATGAAATGATATGTTGGTGGAATAATACGCTGGAAGCGTTGATATTGTGCAAATTGAAATCCCCCAAATATGTGATGAAAGGAGGCATATATAAACCATTGATGGAATCAATTGATAATGAGATATCTCAATATACTACGGAGAATAATGGAGATGAATAAGTGTCGACATAAACAAATGAATAGCGCTATATAAATAATATTGTCGAAAATGAAATCAGCTGAAATGTGAATATTGGGAATTATTGGCAATAAGACCATTGAAATCAATTGATGATGAGAATGAGTTTAAGAATAAAAATTGCACAAAGCATGATATGACATATTGTCGTGAATACCATCAGTATCTACAAATCCGAAAGAATTTATATGATACTCATGCAAATTATGGAAAGATTATTATGGTGAATATATGAAATACGCGTTGTACTCTTTTTCCCTTGGCTGAGGTTTTGTCCCATTGGGTTTTCCTAGCAAGGTTTTTAATGAGGCAACAAGGATGGCGTATTCACATGAATAGTGTACTCTTTTTCCTTCATTAGGATTTTGTCCCACTGGGTTTTTCCTAATAAGGTTTTAACGAGGCATATTCATGGTATGATGAGAACTACTGGATAAATGATATGATTCTTCACGATGATAAGAGATACTGGAGTAGCTGTACTCTTTTTCCTTCGATCAAGTTTTTTCCCACTGGGTTTTCTTGACGAGGTTTTAACGAGGCAGCACATGGATATTCCACTAAAGATGATCTATTTG